TGTTCATTGAAGATGAAATAATAATAATAAATAATTTAATCATATTTCATTCTTTTATTTTGATTAGTTAACAATATTATCATTCATTCCAATTGATAGTCAATAAATAAAAATATAATCATTGTCACTAAATAAAAAATAATTGTTTAATGTAAATTAAAAATTATAATAATAAAGATATTTTAAAATTATGTAAAATTATTTATTATTGCTTTTATTCAATCATAACATTAAAAATTTATTTATTTAATGATGTTTGTATTTCAAACCAATAAATAAAAACATCACGTTATGTTAAATTATCGATAAATTTATTCGTTTATTTTTAAATATTTTCTATTTCTTTTTATTTCAAAAACACATTTTTTATGTAAAATTAAATGAAATCAATGTTTTTCATTTAAATAAAATATGTTGTGAAGAATATTTCAAAAAAAGTAGAATTGTAGTTATTTATTTCAAATGAAAATGAAATATTTTTTAATAATAAATAACTTCAATTCTTCAAATTGGTAAATAAATAATTGACATGTTTAATTATTATTTAAAACGACTATCAACTAACAACAATTAATGAATATTAAACAAATTAAATTACTTATCAAATGAAATATAAGTAATGAAAAATACATTTTGTAAGTTCAAAATGAAGAAGAATGCTTTTAAAGAAAATAACAATACAAATTCAGATACTAAAGAAATAAAATGAATATAGTGAGAAAGAGATAAATAAGATATATTTATTATTGATACATCTGTATTACAAGGCACAGAAAATGAAAATAATGTATCTTGAATAAATAATTGATTATATTAAAAAAGGAATAAATGAATTTTAAATAATTAATATTGTTTTGAATTTCAATCAATGTTTGCATAAAATAATATAACAATAAATAAAATAATATGGAATGATTTTTCAAATATTAAATATTTAGAGACATGTTTGTATCGTCTTGATTAAATGTTGTTGCTATATTCATAAAGAAGTTCATGAAGAAAAGAAGGAAATAAAAGTAGATAAATAACAACAAAAATTATTGGAAGTTTTTAATGGAATAACTAGAAAATATTCATTTCTATTGTGTTTTGTTGATTCAAAAGATTCATCTTGTTATTATAATACACAAAGATAAAATGAAATTGTAATGATAATGACAAGGAAAAATGTTATTAACATTAATTAATGTAGAAGAAGTTGAAAAAGAGATAATGATTATCAGAGTATTACTGAAGAAAAAGATAAAAAAGATAGAAACATTAAACAAGAAAAACATACTCAAATAAATAAAAATAAAGAAATTGCAAAGAAATACAAGAATGAAATATATGGAAGAAATTAATTGTACTAATTGTGAAATTGAAACAACTGAAACTAAATAAATCATTCTTCATAAAAATTCAACAGGGAGAAGAAAAGAAAAGAAATAAAACAATGAAATAAATAGAAAACAAAATTATCAAAATATTTATGTTTGTAAAAAAAGATATTGAATTTATTGACTAAGAAGAATTAGAAAATAACTTGTCAGAACTATTCATCACAAAGAAGAAATATTTAAAAAGATAATAAGTATGTATAATGATTGAATATCATTAGAAAGACGATATGATTCTATTTTTACATTACAATTTGATGAAATAATTTAAAAACATTAAATAAAATAAATGAATTTTTATTTAAATTTATTTTCAATAATTTAATATAAAATATGATAATTTATATTTTAAATAAACAATAATTTAAATAAAATGAATAATAATTGAAATAATTAATTAATTTATGAAATATGAATATTAAATAATATTTTATTCATTGAAACATTGATTATTTAATATTCTTTTTATTTCATTTTGTTTAAATTACATTATTTCTCATTATTATTCATTTCATTAATTTATTAATATTGGTTATTAATTAATTTGAAAATACAACAATCATTCATTCTTTATTTATTTGTTATTATTCTTGAGATAATGGATTCGAAGGTGGCATGTCAGAGACATCACATACAACCATAAAATATTCATATGATTCGATTTCCCCAGTTATCATCTAGTCATGACATACCTTTGGTGTGATAATATCTATTCAAAAATAACTTGTTATTATTTATTATTATTTATTATGAGTAGTTATTAAGGATGCTTATTTATTAAAGAAGATGCATATATAATTGTTATTGTTGCACAAAAATTTAACATAATGATATTATCAAGGAATAGTGTTTCTTTAAGGGGTGTCGAAGGTAAAAGGAGATGAAACATAATCATTATGATATGGATATACTCTCCTTAAAACAACCATATAAAGAATGAGAAATATTATATTACTCATTAAAATCAAAATAAAAGTCAGGTAGCAACTTAAATGATGAATCATTTAATTCGAGCATGCTTGCAAAAACAATATTTGAATAGAAATAAAGCATTTTGAAGAAATTGATTCGCTCACTTCTCAACATGATGAAAAACCTAAAAAATAAGGTTAATCATAATTGATTTCTTTTTTATTTATCATATTCCTTTCTTCTTACATCTCTAAATGTTGTTGTATTTATTATTTGTTTGGTTTTGTTTTTAATATTTTAATATTTTAATTTGTCATTTGATTTATTTGATTTTGAA